TAAACATGTAAAAAGTACAATATAACTTAAAAAATCAAAAAATATATTAATTAAAAACTAAACAATTATTTAAAGACTACTTACTCAACCTTTTAAACCAAAAGATCCAATACGTGATTTAGAATTTAGTTTAGAGTATTGTAAATTAGGTCTAAATTTACCTCTTAATAAAAGAGAAGGATATCTCTTTATAGAAGAAGAATAAGCATTAACTAAATTACCTTTATATCTAACTTTGTAGAGAGATCTTGAAGCAGTATAACGTTTATTTAATCTACCTGCTGCTTCTAATCTAACACCTCTTATTTTTTTATATTTAATGTTATTTAATATAATATTACTTAAGTTTTTAGATTTTATTTTATTTACTAAAAATAATTTATTACATAAATTGTCTGTTTTATTTAATTTTAAATTAACTAAATCTTTAGCCATTAAATTTAATTTAATATTACCTAATTTTGCTTTAGTTACACATCTATTTAAATATCTTAATAATTTATTTCTTTTTTTTCTAATTTTTAATAATAAAGTTTGTGTTAGAATATCACTGTTAAGATAAAAATATTTCAAATTAACTAAATTAAAGACGACATTTTTTTTATATATTTTTTTAATTAAATTAATTAAACCTTGTAAATATGTATTATTAAATTTAGATTTATTAATATATAATAATTGTCTATAATACATATATAATTTTAATCTCTTTAAAGATTTTCTAATAAATAATCTATAATATATATCTTGATATTGTCTTATATATACTTTGTTTATTTTATTATTAACCTGTAATGTTTTCAATAAAATAGTTTTATTATATAATTCTAAGTTAATAATTCTTAAACCTTTTTTTCTAATTAATAACAATTTTCTTTTAAATCTTAATTTATTAAATAAATTTAAAAATCTTTTTTTTATTTTAAGTAAATAGTTATCTTTTTGTTTATTAAAAAGATATAAAGTAATATTTACTTTATCATTAGTATGTTTAAATTCACCCTCACTAACAAATATTTTATTAATAGAAATTTTTCTTAATCTTAGTTTTAATCTATTTTTTCTTAATTTTTTTTCTAATTTTAAATTAAAGAGATTAAAATAACCTTGAATTAATTTCATAGTAATTCTATTAGCTTCAGGTATTAAACTTAAAATGTTTTTATTATAAACATATATACTATCTTTTCATTGTCTTATTGCCGGAGCAAAATCTTTATATTTTTTACTTCTAGTTTTCTCTTCAACCAACTTGTTTTTATATTTATTATTTAATTTTAATTTTATTATATTTATCATATATCTTTAGAATATTTTACCAATGTAATTAAAACTAATTACTTACTAATATAATTTACCTAATTTACTTTAGATAAATCTACTTCATTTATGTTATTATAATAACATAAATAATTATACAGATATATATCTTTTATAATTTAAATATATTTAAGATGTTGGGCATTAATAAAAGGTTTATTGTTAGCAAATACTCACCTTTTAGTCGTTGAACGTCCTTATTTTATAAATAAAAAGATTTAGATCATAATATTCATTACTTTGCTCAAATAAGTTTCGCTTCAAATATACTCAAATTTTATAAGTCTTTTTTGAAATTTACCCAAAATTTACCAATATTTTTATTATATTGGAGGACTAACAAATAATCCCTAGCGTAACTTTTTCTAGAATCCAAGACCTTTCCTTTCTGCATCTTGTGATCATATGCCCCGCTTACGCGACTGATAGACTTGTAAGTCAAACAGTAAAGCAAGATTTAGCCATTAAACTTTTAAAGTATAATTAAGTATCACATAAATAATGGTTTAAATATACATTGTATATATGATTGAAAACATTAAATTTTAATGTTTAAATTACATCTATTTTCCATATAGTTAAAATCTTACTAAAAAAAAAAATAAATAACGTATTTAATACTATAATAACTGGATAATTATAAGTATATAATTAATTACAAACTAAAAAAAAAACATAAAAAATTATATGTTTTTTTAGTAAATATATCATTTACTAATTTACTTTATTAACTTTGGATATACCCAGGTACTTTTTGTGGGATCTGTGCCCCGCATAAACTGCCTTCTAATCAAAAATAGTATAATATAATAAACAAAGGTGTTTCAATTGTATCAAACAATTACCTTATACACTGGAAAATAAAATAATATACTCATAATTAGTAACAGTAAAGCTGCATAGGGTCTTCTCGTCTAACTAGAGGTAAACTGTATCTGCACAGTTATTCCAATTTCACTGAGCCAATCATCGAGACAGCTGTTGTATCGTTAAGTCATTCATGCAAAGACCGCATTTAACGGCCAAGGTATTCCGCTACCTTAGGACCCTCATAGATAAGGCCGCCATTAATCGGGGTGTCCTTCAAAACCTAATTTTATCAATTAAGCAAATCAGTTATCCAGCCGACATCGGGCAGACATCACACTCAATACTTTGATATTTTATCTTTGCAGAGTGCTTTGTTTTAATTAAACAGTCGTACAACACTATTCTATGCTTCCTATTATTATTAGATTAAATCTAAATTTTATTTCATACTTTTTAATCTAATATAATGGTTCTCCTTATTCCGAAGTTACGGTAGTTAATTTGCCGAGTTCCTTAATGATTGTTCACTCAAACGCCTTTGTATACTCTACTTGCTTACTTGCGATAGTATTTAGGTACGGTTTATAACTAGAACAAAATTATATAATGTAAACACAACATCACTTATATGTTTTTATTTAATAAAAACACAATTGTTCCCTAAACTTTTAATTTAATCGTTACATTTATAAAATTTTAACCTTCAAATTTCCAGAACCTTTAACACTAAATAAAGGTTTTGTTTAAGGTTTTTTATTCTAATTATAAATATCATCATATTATAACTAATATAACATATACTATATTGTAAATTCATATTTACATACATACATAATTATATTCTTAATTTTTACATAAATATGTAAATATGTATTTCATATTTATATTTACATAAATATTAATATCTAAGCTCTAATAAATATTATAAAGCTGTATTAATTGTAGTGGCTGTGTTAGACCGCTTATGTTATAAGTGATTATAACAATATATGAAATTAATTAATTCCCCATTTGGGATAAATTTAGATACCGAAAATTAAGTAAAATACCATAAGCTTAAGGCGAGGATGTTTTCCTTTTTCGTTACTCATGTCAGCATTCTCTCTTGGATTATTTCTTAATTAATTTTTTTTGCTTAAAAAGAAAAAATCTAAAATATATCCAATGTTCCGCTACCCCATATATAGAATATATTAAAAGTTAATATTAAATTATAATAAACTATATATTATATATACGCACAAGGTTTCGGTATATAATTTAGATCCGTTAAATTTTAGGTGAAAATATCTACATAAACAATTGTTTAAAAATCAGTGCTCTGTTACGAGATCTTCAAAAAATGGCCGCTTCTAAGCCTATTTCCTGATTGTATTTGATATAAGCATCCTTAATTTCACTCAACTATAATTTTGGAACCTTATAAACTCTTGTTTAGGGCTGTTTCCCTTTAGACATACAACCTTATCGTACTATGTCCGATTATTCAATATTCATCTTTGCCCTTCCGAGTGCAAATACTCTCCGATAAAATCTTCACGATCCCCCGATGTATACAAAATTTTAAAAGATTTTTCTTTTAATAATGCCCGAGATCACAGTTCTGTACCTGCTAAGATGTTAATTAAATTACCTACTTACATAGGTTTCGCGGAAAACCAGCTATACTAGTCAGTTTTGTCTTTCACTAACTTACCACGGTTCCTCGGATATCTATACAACGATATTCCGTTCGGGCTTTTATAACCCTGACCATGGTAAGATCACTAGCCTTCGGGTCTAAACTTAGATACTTATTCATTTTTTCATAATTGGTTTATCTAGGCAATTTTTTTTGCTTGCATCTAAGTTTAACTTGCTGACCCATTATGCAAAAGGTATACTCTTATTATTTAATTAAATTTTACTCGAGTTGCTTATAAAACTACTATTTCAAATGTTACCTCACGGTACTTTTCACTATTGCTTATATATTATATTTAGCTTTAGAGGAAGGTTCCCCTTTATTCAAACAGATTAAATCCATTTTACTTAAAAGCTTTTCTACATTAGTAGACACTAATAATAGAATCTCGTTTGATTTCTATTCCTAAAGTTAATAAGATATTTCAATTCACTTTGTTTAGTATTCGATTTTTCTTAGATATTAGTTGGTTCTAACTATCATCTTTAATATATAGCTAATTATCCTTAATAGTTTCTTTATATACTTACCTTGATATAATTTTATATTATACAAGCAAAATATTTTTCATATTCAGATTCTACACTGACTATTATTATTGTCAGTATAACTTTAATTAAAATTAATATTCAGGTTATTATGATTCGAACATAACAATTCCTCAACCCAAATGAGACGCCTAACCAACCTGGCTCTAACCTGTTTTTTACTTTATGTAAACAGAGAATATCCGATTCGAACGGATGTGATTAATTTAACCAAATAAGTTTCAAGCTTATCACCTTAAACCACTCGGTCAATTCTCTACTAATATTAATTTTAATTATTGATTCCTTAGCGACTTGAACGCCAAACCTACTCTTATCAAAAGTATACTTTACCTATTAAGTTAAGGAATCTTTAAATTTTATTATACAAGAGCACTCAGATTTGAACTGAGAAATCGAAGGTTGAAGCTTCTTATTTTACCTTTAAATTATACTCTTAAAAAATTTATTTCTAATATTTTTTCAACTAAATTCACTAGTGTATTAAGTATTATTTAACTTAATTATATACAAAAAATAAAATATCTAAGCTCTTAAGGCGAATCGAACACCTATACGAATATTAACAGTATTCTGCTCTACCATTGAGCTATAAGAGCTTATATAATACAGATATATCTAAACTAAAAATAATCTTACGGGCTAGGTCGGCTTCGACCCGACATCTATTTTCTCGACAAGAAAACTCTTTACCAATTAAGTTACTAACCCCTTTTATTATACGGCTAGTCGAATTCGAATCGACACACTTCGTTTGGAAGACGAACAGTCTACCATTAACTTATAGCCATTTAATATATATATTTTATCTTTTTAAGACTTACAGGATTCGAACCTACATTATAATGATTAAAAGTCACATGTTTTACCATTAAACTAAAGTCTCTTTTATATATATATAACACAATACCCTAGATTTAAGTTAAAAAAAGTATATAGTTTAGATATCTAAACTATATTTTTTGCTAAACTAATGTACTTTAGTATAAATATTAATTTAGACTAAATTTTAGTAAGTTTAAATTTATTTATTGTTGTTTTATAGTTATAACTATTGCACCCACCATAGCTAATAACAAGATTATGGAAGTAATTACAAGTCAAATACTATAACTAGTATACATTATATTTCCTATACTTGTTATATCAGTAATATCTACTAAATTAGTCTCTCAATTGTTAGCACTAGCTAAATATTGTTTAATCACTTCAATATTTTTTAATTTGTCAATTTGTTCTATCAAAGATTCAAGGAAGGAACTATGACCTATTATAGGTAAAACTTGACCTATAATATATTCAAAAATAATAATTGTAAGAATACCTAAAGGTAAAGTATTATTAGTTTCATTTAAAAGCTCTGAAATCCTAATATTTATCAACATTAAAATAAAAACAAATAAAATAGACACAGCTCCAACATAAACTAATATATAAGATATACCTATAAAAGTTATACCTACTAAAAGTAAGTTACATGAAATAATGAGAAAAAGACCAATCAAATATAAAACAGATACAATAGGGTTTTTAGTGATAATTATATATATTCCAAATAAAATAGATATAAAGTATATAATATCTAAAAATGTTACCTGGTAACCTTGTGTTGCTATATCATTAAAAAAATGTATGTTATTCATAACTAATATGTAAGAAATTATCTTATTATTAGATAAACATTGCTTAAAAATTCTTTTTAAGAAAGTTATTTCTTTAACTTAAAAACAAAACTTTAGGAAGAATAAGAATCGAACTTACGACAGCTTAAAGCTATTGAGTTTACAGCTCAACCCGTAAACCAACAAACGGACCCTTCCTTATCTATTATCTAAATAGTTTATTTAGATAACTGAAGATTAAAAAAATTTTTTTTTGTTTATATAATCCCTCCCGTGCAATTTCCATTACACGAACCGTATTTCGACTTAACACCAATTAAAGTCATGCATACGAAGAAATTTTGTATAAATATATATATCATAATATATATATTAATATATACAAAAACCAAACTTATTGCACATACTCCTTTCAGCGCCTGACGAGTGGTTAGTGCCCTACTGAGATTAGATTCACCGTGACATGGTGATTCACGATTACTAGTAATTCCTTATTCATGTAGTCGAGTTACAGACTACAATTCATATTATATCCTATATTGGGGATTAGCTCCATTTTACAATATAGCATCCCTTTGTTAAGGCGTGTGTGGCACGTCTATAGCCCACAATATTATGGCCATGATGACTTGTCTTAGTCCCTCTTATCCTAGTCCAATATAGCGGCGAACCACCTTATGTATATAAATAAAGTGAGGGTTTTCGTTAATTAAAGGAGTTAACCCTATCTCACGACATTAACTAAAGACAGCCGTGCAGCGCGTGTAATAATTTAATATTATACAAATTGTGGTAAGGTTTATCGCGGATTATCGAATTAAATAACATACTTCACTACTGGTTTCAGTAACGGTCTAATGATTTCAGTTTCTATGTTGCCATATTACTCTTGAGGTGGAATGTTTACACTTTCATTTATAAGCTAAACTTTTTTTCTCTAGCTTATGACATTCATAATTTTCTGCTTGGACTACTAGGGTATCTAATCCTTATTGCTCCCCAAGCCTTCGTACCTCAACGTCAGTTTTTACATAGAAGGACGCCTTCGCCTTCATCAGTCCTTTTAGTATCAAAAAATTTTATCGCTCCTCCAAAAGTTCTTCCTTCTCATATAAAACTCTAGTAAAAAAATGCCCTTTAAGGGTAAAATTTACGGTCTAGTTACCCTTTAAACCCAATAATGATGAATAACACTAGTCTCCTACGAGTTACCGCGACTGCTGGCACGTATATTGGTCAAGACTTATAAATAGAAAATTGTCATAATCATTATTCTATTTAGAATTTTATACGACTTATTCGTTACTGTATTATTTAAGAATACATATACATTCTTCCAAGTTGCTGGTTCAGCCGTTAGGCCATTGACCAATATTCCTCACTGCTGTACTATTGCGCATTGGGGTTTTTTCAGACCCAATGTGGTCGATCGACCTCTCAGTCACGACTACGGATTTTAGCTAGTTAAGACATTACCTTTTCTACTACTTTCCGTGATATAAATTAATATCTTAAAGCGGAAATACTCTCTTTCCTTTTATTTATATGGGATTTTACCATACTTTAAGGTAACCAAAATATCATATACTCACCTGTACACCACTTTTAATAAATTCTAGTCAAAAAATACTATATATTATTAAACGTACGATTAGCATGTGTCAAGCACTTGGACAGCGTTCAATCAGAGCCATCATCAAACTCAAAAAAAAAATAAAAGTATTCTATTGGTAGAATACAATTTAATAGCTACATTAACTATTATTAATGTTAGTATAAGGTATAAAAAAGTTATTAATAAATTGTTTTTAGATAACAAAAAGTTATCTATATAAAAAATTAGAGTAAAAAATAAAAGTCTTAAGATACAATTAAGCCGTTTTCTGTATAGATATAAATATAATTCTAAATGAAGACTAAGTAAAAGTTTTATGTTCATAAATATATATTAGTTAATATATAATTAATTATATAAATATTTGTTTCTTTAAATTTCTAAGATTCTAATCTTAATATAATATATCTAAACTTATCTAGTTGTGGACTTTCCTGCCATATATATTATTAAAATGGCTAATATATATTGTAACATTAATTATGTAACAAACAATATAAATATTAGTTATATTATTGAATTTAGAAGTTTAATTTAATCTTAAAATTTAATGTAAATCTAAACCATCTTTAATGTAAGAAGATGTTAAAACTACAAAAACTTGAGCTTGAATAAAACTTATTCCTAGTTCTAAAGCTGAAAAAGCAACAATAAAAGCTAAAGGTATTAAACTAACAAAAAAGAATAAAACACCACTAGTCATAATATTGTATGTAAAACCGCTTAAGATAGATAAAAGCATATGTCCTGATAAAATATTAGCAGCTAATCTTAAACCTAATGAAATGTTACGAGCTAAATAAGATATAAATTCTATTAAAACTAATAAAGGTAATAAACCTAAAGGACAACCTGATGGTACAAATAAAGAAAAAAATTCTAATCCGTGTTTTTGAAAACCTAATATAGTTGCACCTAAAACAACAGTAAAACTAATAAAAAAAGTTAATATAAAATGAGATGTAGAAGCAAAGCTATAGGGAACCATACCTATTAAATTATTTATTAAAATAAATAAAAATAAGACATAGATAAAAGGAAAATAAACTTGACCTTTTCTTGTATTAATTTGGTTTATAACTATACTATGCACAGTTGAATATAGAGACTCTTGGCTAATTGATCATGCATTAGGTATTAATTTATTATAGTTATTAGCTAATAAACTTAATAATGTTATAAGAAGAGTACTTAGAGTAAGATATAATCCTATATTAGATACAGATATTTCACTTTGATTCAAGAAACTAGCATTTAAACTTAATAAATCTCTGATTTCAAATTGATCTAATGGACTTAATACTACATTTAAATCGTTCATAATTTTTTTTTAGTTAAGAAATTATTTAAGCCCACAGGTATTAAATAAAATTTTATTATATCTAGACATTGTAAAAATTTTGATATTATATAATTATTAGATCTTTATTTGGTTTCTGTTATAATTTTACATGTTATAGTTTTACTTTTGTAGTTTATTTGTAAATAAGAAATTTCTAATTATAATTTATTTACAAAAATACGTGTTATAAATAAACGTACAAATCTTGGTAAAATATATTTACTAAATATATAAGTTAAAATAATAAATAATATAAAAGCAAATACTACTTGATTTACAAAAAAAAAAGGTATTAGTTGTGGCATATCTTAAGCTTTAAACAAGATATCTTCAGATTAGTACCACAATTTAAAAGTTAAATTATATAAAAGATAAAATATAAAACATGAAGTATAAACAAAAGTTTAAACTAACTAATATTATATATTAAAGATGAAACTGAATAATGTAATCCGTCTAATATAGGAGCTGGGTATATACCTAAAACAATTGTAAAAGTTACTAAAATAAATAACATTATAAATTCTCTTTTATTTACATCTTCTATATAATTAATAAAGTATTTTGAGGCAGAACCACCAAAAGCTATTCTATTAAACATAAAAATAGTATAAGCTGCTGAAAATACAGCAGAAAAACTAGCTAAAAGACCTAAAAGAGGCATTTTTTCAAATACACCATATATAGACATAAATTCCCCTACAAAATTTAGTGTCAAAGGTACACCACAATTACCTAAAGATAATATATAAAATATTATACAAAAAATAGGCATAATTTGAGCCATACCTCTATAATATGTAATTAATCTAGTTGATGATCTCTCATATAAAACACCTCCAGCACAAATAAATAAACCAGAAGAAACAAAACCATGTGCTAGACCTAAAGTAATAGCACCTTCAATACCTTGTATTGTATTACTAAATGCACCTAATAGATAAACAGCTGCGTGTGATACAGATGAATATGCAATTAATTCTTTTATATCTATCGTCCTTAAAGTACTAAAACTAGCATAAATTATAGTTATTACACCTATAACATATACTATATAAGTATAATTTATAGAAGCTTTAGGTAATATTGGTAATATTAATCTAAATATACCATATAAACTTAATTTTAAAAC